ATTGCATCTGAGTAGACATTGCAAACTTAACACTGCAAAATAAAGTGTTATGAAAAATACCAAACTATTGGGTGTAGGATCTGGGCATCTGTGACGTTCCCCTCTGGTGTTATCTGGACCGGTGATCTGCTAGGTCACTCCAATCCTTGACTCTGGGAGCCAGCCTTACCCTGCTCTGCTGTGAGAACCCCCACTCCTGGGCTGTTCATACACAGCCTCTGGCATGTAAGCTGCTCCTTGGATTGTGCAACCAAATGACACTAGCCAATATCTCCGGTCCCAGACACAAATCTAGGAACCTCCTTCTTGCAGTGTCCAGCTATGCCCACTGGACGCTACAAGCTTATATGAGTTTGTCAATTTAACGAAGAAATTGTTATGTACCAGGCTTGTTATGGCAAGGAGAGTCTCTGATACGCTTCAAACCAAACGCACTGCTTCAGGTAAAATAAACAAACAGATTTATTAATTATAAAGCTAGATTTTAAGTGATTATAAGTCAAAGCATAACAAGTCAGATTTGGTCAAATGAAATAAAAGCAAAACGCATTCTAAGCTGATCTTAACACTTTCAGTGTCCTTACAAACTTAGATGCTTCTCACCACAGGCTGGCTGGTTGTTCTTCAGCCAAGCTCTCCCCTTTGATCAGCGCTTCAGTTGCATGGTGCGGTGTCTGTAGATGTAGGTGGAAGAGAGAGAGAGAGCATGGCAAATGTCTCTCCCTTTTATCATGTCCATTCTTCCCTCTTGGCTTCCCACTCCTCCCCCGCCACCCTTCAGAGTCAGGTGAGCATTACCTCATCGCAGTTCCAAACTGACCAAAGGAAGGAGGGTGACTCCCTGGAGAGTCTAACAGATTCTTTTGTTGCTGCCTAGGCCAGTGCCTTTTGTTCTTGTGAGGCTGAGCTGGGTTTGTCTCATACTTGCCTTGATGAGGTGTGAACTGCCTCTTCGCTCTTAGGCCTGGTCTACACTAGGACTTTAATTCGGATTTAGCTGCCTTAATCCGAATTAACCCTTCACCCGTCCACACTACAGAGCCAGTTAATTCGAATTAAAGGGCCCTTTAAATCGATTTCTGTACTCCACCTCGACGAACGGAGTAGAGCCTAAATCGATTTTGTTAATTCGAATTAGGGTTAGTGTGGACGCACACCACCGAATTACTGTGTTTAAGTTAATGGGGTAGTGTGGCCGCACACCACCGAATTAATGTGGTTTAAAACCGAATTAAGGTGCTTAGTGTGGCCGCGCACAATCGAATTTATACAACCTGTTTCCCAAATTCGAATTATCTAAATTCGGATTAATCCTGTAGTGTAGACATACCCTTAGAGAGTTTTTGTCTGAGCTTGCCTTAAGCCATGAGGATACATTTTCAGCCTCATAACTATATACATGAAATTATAAGCTATAACATTACTATAACCTTACTGTAACAATTACTATAACATCACTATAACAACCATGCTCAGTGCATCATGAGCCTTCCAAAGACACCCACCATGACAAACTTTGCATTGGATACCACACAAGCATTTTATAAAAATGAACATGGGGGTGTAGGGTGTTCCCACAAGGTACAGAGCGTCACAGCATCTAATGGCAACCAAAAGCCTAGGAGGGATTATAGTCAGGATATATGGACACCTTCAAGGCTGTAATCGCAGTAATCAAGATGTTTAAAATAGTCTCCCCCTTTTATTTCACTATGTTCCACTCTCCTGCTACCCAAGCTGATTATGAACACAGCACCCAGCTATTTCCCCTTCAAAACAAACACCACACTTGTAGAGATATGTTTGTAGAATATTATACTTTAGAGACGCTCCCTCATAATGGACAGTATTATGGACATAGGAATTTGGGGATGTGCTCTGGAGGCAGTGGGGGTGGGGTTTGGGAACTCCACAGAGCTGTGTGAAGCAGTTCACCACAATTGCTGTCCAGTTTGTTTTATTAAAATTTTAATAACTTTCTCATTCACTGGTTTGCTATTTAATGATCGTGTCAGAAGTGCTGAATGAGAAGGAAACTGCAGTCATTTTGAAGTTAACTCCTGTGTTTGCAGCTGAAAGCAGAGACAAAGGGAGAAACCAGAGAACACTTTAGAGACAGAGCTGCAAGCCTATGTAGATTTGATTGTAAAGTCAATTCCCACAGCTAACAGGAAACTGCAACAAATAAAAGAGGAAACGGAGCAAAATGAATCATTGGGAATCCTTAAAGAAGTGATAATTAAAGCGTGGCCTGAAGAAATAAGCAGTTGCTGTCCAAGTATAAGAGAGTATTGGAACTGCAAACATGAGCTTACTGTGATAGGTGGGGTGATTTCCAAGGGCAGTAAGGTTGTAATTACAATGAGCCTCCATAAAGAAATGCTACAGAAGATCCACAAGGGTCATTTAGGAATTGAGAAGTGCAAACAACAAGCATGAGAGGTGCTGTGCGGGCCACGGATCAATCATGACATTACTCATGTGGTCGGAAACTGCTTTGCATGCTGAAATACAAGCCATGCCAACAGGCAGAGCCACTGAGACCTCATCCAGTTCCACAAAGGACTTATGAGGAGGTAGGCACGGATTTATTTACCTGGGAACCAAAGGTTTATTTAAGAGTCACAGATTATTATTTCTGCATCCAGACATTGGCACACTGCATAATACTAAGTCAGTGATAGCTGGCATGAAGGGAATCTTCTCCAAACATGGAATTCCAGATGAAGTCTTTAGCAATAATTGACTGCAACTTTCCAGGGCAGATTTTAAGCAATTTGCCATAGATAGGGATTTTCATCACAAAACATCAAATCCAAATAACCCGCAATCAAATGGATTTGTGGAAAGATTTATACAGACAGTAAAGAACCTTATGAAAAAGACCTTTGACAGTGGGGATGATTTGTATAAAGGATTACTGGTTTATAAAAGTACACACCTGGAGAATGGCTTTTCTCCAGCTCTGATGTTAATGGGAAGAAGGATCAGATATAATTTACCAATTACTGAGAATGTACTGAAATCTCATAACAATGATACCATACAGAAGATGAAAGAAAATCAGAAGTGGAAGCAGAAATATTATTTTGACAAAAGGGCCCGTGATCTCCCATCTCTTAGCCCAGGTGATGGAGTGTGTCCAAGGAATCACACCTCTAATACTTGAGACCAAAGAGGTACCATTAAAGAACAGCTGCATCCAAGGTCTTATGTAGACCAGACAGACCAGGGGGACACATTTCGACGTAATCAAAGGGATCTACGAGTAATCCCAGAAAGTTCCAACACATTGACAGTAGATGTGGACTCTGGCATTTCCCATCTGACTGATCCTTTATCATCAATGCACAAAGGAGAAACTGCCAACGAACAAGAGAACAACTCAGACTGTAATGAAAGGTTGATACTGAGAAGACCAGAACGGGAAATTAAACGTCCTGAAAGACCATAGAGACTTGCTAACCTGCCTGGGGAATGCGTATTTGAAGTGAGTGGTAAAGACTCAATCAAGAGTGATATGCTGGTAACCTCTCTTTACTAGGTAGGTGACACATTGGGTTTATGGAAATGTACTACATAGGTTGAAATTTAATGCATGTGTTATTAGATAGCTGTTAGCTATATATATATATAAGAGTTAATTCATTTCTCTTTAAGAGGGAAGATGTAGAGATATGTTTGTATAAGATTATAATTTAGAGATGCTCCCTTATAAGGGACAGTATTATGAACATAGGAATTTGGAGATGTACCATGGATGCAGGGGGGTGGGTACACCGCATGGCTGTGTGCAGTTCACCACATTAGCTCTCCAGTTTGTTTTATTAAAATTGTATTCTTTTCTCATTCACCGGTTTGTTATTTAATGAACCCCAAGATTGTTACAACCCCAATGATCCCTAAATGTTTGATCCCCCGGGACCCACATTGCTCTTCTTCTGGCTCTACACACCCATCCCCTGATCTCTACAATGACTGCTCCTTTCAGCACCCTGTGCTTAGCATCCAGCTCCCTCACCTTCTGGTTTATACTTCCCATCCGTCCCTCATCAATTCCAGGTGTTCCATTCTCACAACACACACTCCTCCTGGGGAAGGATTTTGCCAACAAAATGATCTCCAAAGGATCAATTACCTTAGCACATGCTCCTTCTCCTAATCACTGCTGCCCCACTTCCCTCACATGATGTAGTTTTTAATCTGTTTATTTTTGGCAGTGCCACACATTGCCCATGTGCCCCCATAAAGTGCAGCTCTCATTGATTTCTGTCCCATCTCTCATGCATTATTAATGTATCTTCCACAGGAATCAGTGGGCACACTCAGTCTGGGATAGGGTTTCACTCCCCCGTGGGTTCTCTGGTGTCGAGTGAGCGATGAATTCTGGCTGAAACTTTTCCAACACTGAGCACATGTATAGGGTTTCTTTCCTGTGTGGATTCGCTGATGTTGAGTAAGATCTGATTTCCGACTAAAACTCTTCTCACAGTCAGAACATCTATATGGTCTCTCTCCCATTTGCGATCTCTGATGTTTAATAAGGTCTGCACACATGTTCAGTCTCTCTGTCTTGTGTATTCTCAGGGGAGAATTCTCCTCCTTATTTTCACTCAGAAAGACCTCATCATCTGCTGAAATAAAAATATATATGATTTCTTTGGGGGGAAACAATTTCAAACCCCAGAACTAAGAATGGCAAAGGATTTATCCCAAATCTAAAAGCTATTTATGAGATTGATAATCAGGAACCAAATCTTTAGAGAAAGGATGGGGCCAATTCTGAAGCAAAGTAATGAAGACCTAGGCCTGGTCTACACTCGGGGTGGAGGGGGGGAATCGATTTAAGTTACGCAACTTCAGCTACGTGAATTACGTAGCTGAAGTCGACGTACTTAGATCTACTTACCGCGGTGTCTTCACTGCAGTAAGTCGACGGCTGATGCTCTCCTGTCGACTCCGCCTGCGTCTCTCGTCATTTATTAAGCAAATGAAAACAATCATTCACCCAGTGAGATCACAGTCTCAAATGTCTCCCACATGACGCCCCTGTAGAGTTCTCTCTGCCTTTCATCCAAAAGTGCCCACTCTTCCTGGGTGAAATACACAGCCACTTCCTCGAATATCATCTGTATCTGAAACAGGAAGAGTTCCCTACTCAGCTGAGAACCCTAATGGTCAGTCACTAGCTGGGTAGCAGAGGATAGAGCAGCAGCATTAGGGAGCGTGAAAAGCATCCTGAATGTAAGAGGCAGGATACACGAGGAAGGCATATATCTGCACAGGGTTCCCCTGAAAGCTTTGTGGGTTTGTTTTATGCAATGAAGGAGAGTGAGAAGTGGCAAAGAAAAGAGAAGAGGGAAAGACTGCAAAAGACGGAGAGAGTCAGGGAGGTTTCTGGGCTCGTTTTGTTTAAGAAAGAGGGAATGAGGAAAAAATTGGAGAAAGGGAGAGAATTAAATTGTAAAGTGGCATAAATTAAATTCCTCCAACTGTTAAGAATTACCTACGTTAAGTGTGCTTTTAAATGTCAAGTGGATGGTAAGAAGAATGTCAGCCCAGACCCTCAGGACTCACCATTTTCTGGTGCTGGATGAGTTGTGATTTCCGACCGAAGCTTTTCCCACACTTAGTGCATTTATAGGGTTTCTCCTCCATGTGGACCCTCTGGTGACAAATAAGGTCTGAGCTCCAGGAGAAGCTTTTCTTACATTCAGGGCACTTATAGGGTCTCTGTCCTGTGTGGATCCTCTGATGTTTAATAAGCGTTGACCTGCAGCTAAACCTTTTCCAACACTCAGTACAATCGTAGAGTTCCTCGCCCGTGTGGATTCTCTGATGTACAATCAGATCTGAGTTCTGACTAAATCTCTTCCCGCATTCAGCACATTTATGCTGTTTGTTCCCCATGTGGATTCTCTCATGCTGAATGAGCGCTGAGCTCCGACTGAAGTTTTTCCCACATACTACACATCTGAAGGGTTTCTCTCCGGTGTGGATTCTCTGATGCTGTGCAAGTGTTGAGTGTTTATTGAAGCTTTTCCCACATTCAGTGCATCTGTAGGGCCTCTCTCCCCTGTGGGTTTTCTGATGACGAATGAGTGTGGAGCTCAGAGTGAAGCCTTTTCTGCATTCCAGACATTTATAGGTTTTCTTTCCCGTGTGGATTCCCTGGTGCTGACTAAGTTTAGAGTTCTGAAGGAAGCTTTTCCCACACTCAGTACATTTATAAGGTTTTTCTCCCATGTGGAGTTTCTGGTGTGTAATAAGATTTGATCTCAGACAGAAGCTTTTCCCACATCCTATACACATATTCGGACTCTCTCCCTGGGCAATGATGCTCTTGTGTCCCCCCAAACCTCTTTCATGGCGAACCAATTTATCCTGGTTCTTCCCTACAGAATTTCCCTCTTTCCTTTCTGACCTGTCCTGACTCTCAGAGATTTTTCCACAGTCAGGATTCCGGGCAATATCCCCTGCTGGTCTCCCAGCTAATGTCCAGTATGGTTCTGTCTTTTTGGGATCTTCCTGCTGAGGAGTGACCTCTTCAGTGATGATCCTATCATCTGCTAGAATAAAAATAAAACGAACTATCATTATTTATAAGATTGAAAACCAAGATTTCAATCTTCTGCATCCCTTCCACACAGGGGATCAGTTCTGCTTCAAGATTCCCTCCGAGCACTCAGATAAAAGATGGATAAAGGGACCACTGATAGATGATAGCACTTTACAATACTGGTTAACTTGAGATGAGACAGACCTGAGAAACCATTGGGGATTTGTTAGAACTCCATGCATCAATGTCATCTAAGTCTAAGATAGCTACTGTACTAGTGTGATGCAAGACTGCATTTTTAAGGCTCTTTGACTGGACTTTTTGGCTAGCTGTCACTGTTGGAATTCCCCTCAGCAATCAGTCTCCTGGCTAGTGTCCTCTGGTTCTGATTCACATTGTTCTGACCACCACGTGGGAGCATTGAGTGTATGCACCTGTTTCTCAAGGAAACATATCCTTTTGATCTAAGTTATAGGAAGGGAGACCGTATACGGTACTACAATGAGGGAGACCTTAGAGATGCATATAAATAATGAACATAAAATAAACTCTCACCAGTTCAGGTGCCTCTAAAGATGTCTCTTTTCTTGGAGTCTTGGAGAGTCAGGGCACCTGACTCTTGCCCTTGTTCCACCTGAGAGATCACATCAGGCTTGGAAATCATAAATCCTACTCATGAGGAAACAAAACAAGTGATAGCAAACATTATTAAATACCTGTAGAGTACTCGCTACAAGCAATGACCTGTTATTTTAAAACTATCTCCTTTATGTGCTGGAGTGCCTGTTGGCTGAACAGACGGAGGATGTTTACAGAGCTCTTGTGGGAAAGCAAAACTTTTACGGTGGGAGATTCAGAGATATGCACACGTATGGGGACTTGATGACTCAGCACAAGTATTAAGCTACTGGCACTTGATCATTTCTGTACTTGCAGATAAGTCAGAGACCCTTCTGAGAATGAAGCAAGAGCCAAGGAAGGGGAATAAATTATTTTGTATTACAACAAGCATGTACATATAAATGCATTTCATAGAATGCTCTTAGCCTGGTAGGATTAGCACCGCCACTGTGTTTCTGAATTTAGTATTTCACTGAAGGGACACAGTCTCTATCACACAGGATCTGGGAATGATATAAATTATTTCCCCGGAAACATAAGGAACCCAGGAAAGAACCCTGAGCAGAAGCCAGACTGGGCACTAAACAGACACAAAAGGTGCTATTACCTAGCAAGAGCTTGGTGTCACAATCCTCCTGCATGATATCTCTCCAGACACTTCTCTTTTCTTCATCCCAAAGAGTTCCCTTGTCTTTGATGTCGAATGTCTCTGCCACCTGAAAGTACAACCATTCCCTGGTATCTGCCTACAGCTCCAGCAATAATTCCACCTCTGAACAGAGAGGGAAGGAGCTGGCGGTGTCAGGGCAGCATGAATAGCTTTCAGCAGCACAGGCAGGCTCTAGGGATGGGGCGGAGCTGGTGCAACATACCTGCACAAGGTCTGTGTGTTTATGCAGCTTGATGTGGGCCGGGGTGTGGAAGCCCGGGGCAGCTAACAGGAGATAGAGAGGGACAAAATGTCTTTTGTGATAAACAAATTGATTTTAAACTAAAAGAAGAATTTTAGATATAAATTGTCCCCGCTCCCTCCCCACACACACATGTCCCCCTCAGCCAAGGCAGCTGGAGCTCTGTGGAACATAACAACATTTAGAAATATAATAATAATGAAAAAGTTAAACTGAAGCAATTGAGGAATCCAAGAGCAAAAAAGGAGGCAAATGACAGCAAAAAATAATAAATATGGGGCCAACAACGCACAGTCTGAAAAACAGTTCCAGAGTGAAAGTAGATACCTTTTAAATGTGTGGTGCGATGGATTTCCTGGGGGGAAATGGTTCTATACCGCCAGGAAAAGTGTGATCGCCTGCCAACTGAAGATGCCACAGTAGGATCCCTATAAGCCATGTTGTGTGGAACATGGATAAGCAGCAGAATGAGGCTCAAGGATGAGGTCACAAATATAGCTAGGACCTGCCATTAAAAGCTTATACTGTAGTCAATTCACCATCTTAGACGTAGCAAGTGTAAAGAATGCAAAGCAGTCCTGGTTGCTCAAAGCAATGAGCACAGATGCTGCTGTGGTGGAAGCCCTGATAAGAGGGAAGCACAATAACTGAGGCTTGTGGTCATGAGGCAAGATGCTACTGCTGCAATGGTCATCACAGGGCAAATAAAGGCGTACCTTCACAATTGGTGTAACTCCAATGAACTGTCACGTTATGTCCAACTGGGAGTTTTCTGTGGAAAGGGCATGCTCAAAAGCAACAAAACGATACTTAACCTGACTCACTACTTCTGAACAAATCCCTTCAGCAAGTGGGGACAGGAAGGAGAAGTGAGGCACCGTGTAGAAAAGATCCTCTACCCAGAATCGAGACTTCTGCTTTCCCAGAAATGAGTATGAGGTACCTCCGGTTCATCCAACCAGTGCAGCATCCAAGAAGTCCTCCAGAAGAGAGACCAAACTTGCAGGATCCACAGGGCAATGTACATCATAAGCTGTGTATCATCAGCTTAGATACTCTTCCATCCAGATAGAATTTTGGTACATTTTTAAAATATATAGCAACAGAGGAGACTGGATTGCTCAAAGAAGGACACCACATTACAAATCTTTCCATAAGGATGTAATTTTCCATTCCCAGTAACTGACTACTAACATTTAGGTATGTCTAGATCCTCTGGAGGGCAACTTCTCTTATGGCTTGATCCAGAGCCCACTGAAGTCAAAGGAAAGCCTCCAACTGATTTCAGCAGGCACTGGATCAGACCTTTAGTCAGCAAAGCAACTACCCATGGTTAGTCATATAAAAAGATACCAAAAAGTGCATCATGACCAAATTGGCCAACTGATCCTGTCCTATAATTAACAGCATGATCCTGATCAGCATGGCCTCAGAACCGAAGGAAGCCCAGCACCCAGACTGGAACCTGCTATGTCACCACTGGTGCCCAGCCCCCAGACTAGAACCTGCTATGATGTTGGATAAATAGCTACCAGCTTCTCCATCTATCTCCTTCCCCAAAGATGGGATGGTAGAGACTGGGCAATATTTGGCGTTAAGCACTTCAACATCAAACAATGTTTTTTTAAGGAAGGGTTGAGCCTCTGCAGACTTACAGCTATTCCACACATTCCCCTTACGAAGTCTGGTGTTGACGATGCTGGTGAATAAACGTGGGGGTGCAATGGAGCAGATTTTGGCGATACGTGATGTTTGGAAGAGGGTAGCTGCGGTCTGAGATGTGTTGAGGAGATATGGGTGGGTGTGGTAGGAGGCAATGTTTGTGAATGATGTTTGGGGTAGAGTGCGTGATAGAGGGTGCTGTGGAGGAAACGTGGTAGGTAAAGATGAGCAGTGGGCAGGGTGTTTCCACTACTGGTTTTACCATTGCTGCAGAGGAAATAGCACCTTCCTGGCATTTTCAAAACTTCCACTTGGTAGGACTAGCTAGTTCTTGGGGAATGTTTGGGCTTGGTGTACAGGTACACATTTTATTGGCATAACTATGTCGGTCAGGGTGTGTGTTTTTACCAACACAGTGATACCGATGCAACCTCTAGGGTGGACAGTTATACCAGTATAATGCTGCCTTATACTGGTATAGTTATTCCCCTTCCCAAACAGGAATAAACGATACCAATATAAACACTTTTATATCAATACAAATGCATCCGCACTAGGGGAGTGGTACTGCTTTAGCCAGACCCCTATAGTCAGAGCTGTACAACTTACTCCTATAGTCGAGCTCTTACACACCAACCCCCTTCCTGAAATCCTGGCAGAGAGGGTCAGCTGTCACCATGTGTGCTGAGGATGCACACACCCATGTGCGGTGCCTGAATTATTCTTATTTCCATCCCGGTGCAGCTCAGACTCCAGTCCCCTTCCTGCCCTTACCAGGTCCTGCTGCTAGCAATTCCAGACCTCTCTGCTGTTTTCTGTCCCCTGCCCTTCCCCTGCTGCAGCCCGCAGCTCTCTCCGCTCTCCCTTTATCCCAGACCCCCTGACTCACGGCTCAGCTGGCAGCAGGGACGGGGTTGTTAATTTGATCCATGGTGTGTGCCGGGGCACAGAGAGCGGGGGTTGAGATGGGATTCAGTCACTCAGGGTCCAGGTGCCGTGAGCGATCTCAGTGCTGAGAGACACCCCGGGTTTCCAAGGGATGGCTGGCACAGGATGTTCCATGTGCATTTCGCTTCCCCTCACATTACTTCCTGGTCCTCTCTGGGGAAAGGAGACATCAGTTGCTCTCTGGTTTTAATCCTTAACTCCCCAGATTCGGGGAAATAAGTAACTCTTTCCTAAAACGCTCTCAGTTCTCTCCATCACCTTAGCTTGCTCAGAAACAGCAATTCCCTCTCATGCCAGGTCAGATCGGATCATTTAGCCCAGCAATCCCGCCCTGACAGTAAAGAGAAAGTGCAAAGAAAGCTTGTAATGGACAATTAAGGAATAACCTGCCCCTGTGCTGTATCACTAACCCCCAAAGTTACAAAATTGAGTTAGGTCGCCAAAAATCAAGAGATTATTACAAAATATAATTTAAAAATGCATTATGGTGGGGGGGGGTGTTAATTTGCCTCTGGGTTTTGAGGCTTTGGGGTACAGTCAGCTCACCTTTTCAAGCTGTTCTGGACAACCACAGTG